TAACTAAAGCCACAGGCCTTTAGTACTGCAGGGTCCATACCATCTTACTGTTCCTTACCTATCTGAAAATACATCCAGTACTGGAAGTTTGGAAGAACTTCCTTACAATCGTTTGGGTAATTTTGAGACCTTACTGAACTGGGAAATAATAAAAGCTATTAGCATAATTTTAGTCTAATTCTACTGGTTAAACTAATATAGTAACCAGTAGTGGTTATGGGTTGAGGAATATATTTAATTCAACCTCATTCAACGTCCTGATGGTTTGAATGAGAATGTCCACCATGGGCTCCAAGTATTTGAACACTTGGTCAGTTGGTGGCGGGGAGGAGGAGGTGTCAGGAGCTTTGAATGAGAATGTCCACCATGGGCTCCAAGTATTTGAACACTTGGTCAGTGTTCAAATACTTCAGGAGGTGTGGCCATGCAGGAGGAAGCACGTCACTGGGGGCGGGCTTTAAGACTAGCCAGCCTTGCGCCTTCCTGTTTGTCTTTTTGCTTCCTGTGCCTGCTTGAAGATGTGTGCTCTCAAGTTTCTGCTCCCATCATTGTCCTCTGCCACCGTGCCTTCCTGCCACGATGGACTCATCCCTTTGGAACCATAAGCCAAATAAACTCTTTCATCTATGACTTTCCTTGGCCATGTTTTATCACAACAACAGAAAAATAACCAATACAGAGCCAAGCAAATGAAAGGGTAGGTGAATGACTTGTGAATGGAGACACTGTACTGGTCAGTGAGGCATTTCCTGAAAACCAGCATACACAACAGGCCATGTGAGGCTCTAGGAGGCAGAGAGGGATGCTGGAAATATTTCTACCCATATGAGCTGTTACAGTCTGCACAAGAAAGAATAGAGGTTACACAAGGAGAAAAAGAATCAGTTATAATACGCAATACTATTAATCCGAAGCTACCACGTTATTAGCTCCAAATATTGAGCTGTCTTTGCAACCCTCACAAGGATTTTTTTTTGTCTTTTTGAGACAGGGTCTCCCTGTAGCCCCAGCTGGCCTGGAACTCTCTACGGAGACCAGACTGAGCTTGATCTCACAGAGATCCATCTGCCTCTGCCTCCCAACTCACAAAGATTATTTTAAGTATGTGCAAGGTAGGGTTTTGTTTGGAACTCTGTTCACAGTGAGCACTTGCCTATAAACCCACTTTGTGCATGCTCTTTTTCAGGCTTGATAACTCTTCTTTCTGGCTTAATTATTTATTAGTTCATATTCTCAAGACTTTTTTTTTTTTTTTTTTTTTTAAATCCCTTATAAGGACAGCAGAACTCACTTTGCAAAATAACTTGGGTCTGATGTTATTTTTGTATGTTGATGTGAAAACACTATAGTTTTGTTTGGGCAATTTTGAGACCAGGCCTTAAATACCCAACCCTGGACCCAAACTCCCTATGTAGCCAAGGCTGGCCCTGAACTCCTGATCCTCCCATTTCTAACTTATAAGTGCTGGAATTACAGCTCTGTGCCACTGTGCCCAGCTAAAAAACAACATTCTTGATTTGATTTCTGTACAGAATACCTAAATTATTCTTTTTTTTAATTTTTAAAAATTATTTATTTAATAACAACATACTTAGAAGAAGCATATCATTACAACACAATTGACATATTCAATAACAGTTTCCTGAGGTAGGATGCATCTCTTTCAAAATTGGCCTTAACCAACATTAAGAATTTGTAATTTCAAAACAATGATTGATACTGTTCATAACACTGATGTGGTAAAGAAGTGTTTTATATAACAGGCAAACCCTCTGTGCAATCCTGATATTATTTACTTGGGAATAGTTTCTTTGATTCATTTTGTTAATGTTTTGTTGATGTTGTTATTTGTAAATGCCCCAATTTTGGCTTAACTGGTCCCCTCTCTTCATACTTTCTATGTTCCTTTTCATTAATTTCTGCTCATTTTCCAAATCTATATTTCCATGACAGGGATATTACATCCCCCCTGGGGTCTCAGATGAGCCAGCACTCTCTGCCTAGCTCAGATGAAGTTGTATCAACTTCATATCTAGAGAATTTTCTCTTGAGGAAAAATTGTGACATTTAAGTTTTATGTTGATTTTGAAGGTTTAAAAAATTATTAACCTTAAAAGTAAAAACAAGCTTAGTCCGATAACATCTAGTTTTTAATGGATATTTTCATATTTAAAGAAATCTTGTATTTAGCAGTTGGGTGAAAGCAGTAATTATAGACAAATATGTAGATTTAAAAGTCATAGATTTTTTTCAATAATTTCTTTTTTTTAGATCAGGTCTCCCCATAGCTCCAGCTGGCCTGGAACTCACTATGGAGACCAGGTTGGCCTTAATCTCACAAAGATCCACCTGCCTCTGCCTTCCAAATGCTGGGATTAAAGGCATGCACCACCATACCCAGCATTCGCTAATTTCTTTATGTATTTTGAGAATACTCTGCTGGGTATAAGCAGTTGCACAACTTTTTCCAATACCCTTTTGTCCCTATTTATTTAATTAATTATTTGTGTGTACCTGTGTGCACACTCATGTCATCTATGTGGAGGCCCGAGGTTAACCTGTAGAAGTTGGTTCTCTCCACCACGTGGTCCTCGGGATTGAAATCAGGTTGTCAGGCTTGGCAGTATCTTCACTTACTGAAGCATTTTGCAAGTCCTCACCTTTTGAATCGTCCCTTTTA